TTTTGCTGTGTTTTTATACTGCAACTTTTTGCTGTGTGGAAAACTTACACCCCTCCCCTTTTATAATGGACGGTCCCCCTGTCAGGTCAAAGGTGACAAAGATGGCGGCGGCCTGAGAGTCACAGTGTCTAGGCTACATTTGTATACGAGCGATCGCTGTTTTTGTTTACATTATACGCATGCAAATTATTTGAAGACATATGCAAATTCTTGGTAGGCAAATCAGCCAACTGGCACTCACTTTTTGCCTACGGTGACGTCATGGCGATCGCTCGTATTGTTCCCTAATGATCGATAACTTACCTGAGTCAAGAGTCAACACTTCATAATTGAAAATAAGTCTTTATTGCTTCATAGTACCAAGTGGTGCCACATTTGACTCCCATAGGCCCAATATTTACTCATCAAATTATTAGCGACCTTGTCACGTGACTCAAAGGCGGGGAAACGTGGAAGACGAATATCGCCGCATGCAAGCGTTTATGACATCATGCCACGATAGTTTAAGCTAATTACATATTTACGCCTTCAGACAGACATCATTTCTATCATACCATGCGTCGACATCAACACGTAGCGGTGCAAACGTTACCAACATTCACTAGATAGCAACATAATTTGTAATCACTGGACCTGGTCGAAACATTTTAAATTTATCCCGATCTATAGGCCAAAGCTAGAAAAACCTTTAGAAAAAAACTAACGTCACAACGTAGCCAAGCTTTTCCTCTAAAAAACTTATGCACGAAAAGGATAACTCAGTCGACGTAGTTTGCATGCCATCGTTGTCACCTTTGACCTGACAGGGGACCGTCCATTATAAAAGGGGAGGGGTGTAAGTTTTCCACACAGCAAAAGTTGCAGTGTAAAACACAGCAAAAGTTGCAGTGTAAAACACAGCAAAAGTTGCAGTGTAAAACACCAAAAGTTGCAGTGTAAAACACAGCAAAAGTTGCAGTGTAAAACACCAAAAGTTGCGGTGTAAAACACCAAAAGTTGCGGTGTAAAATTTTGTTCTTGTCGGCCACGGTAAAAATGCCTTCCTTGTGATTTGACAATAAAATTGAAATTCTTTCCTTCTTTCTTACTTCTCAAGTATGACAGATACACCGCTCTCACTATAGGAGCTCCCAACAACAAGGATTCGACAAAGGATTTTTTCCGTGCTTCCAGTGTGACAAATACATTTGTACACCGCTGTTGCTTCATTGATCCTTCTTTTCTTCCGTGTCTCCAGTATGACAGATACACGGCTCTCGCTATCGGGGCTCCCAACAACAAGGGCAGGGGACGTCTGTATGTCTTTTTACATTCAACATAAGGACGGAGACAGATAACAAAATGCCTTCCTTGTGATTTGACGATATAGTTGAAATTCTTTTTTTCTCTTTTTCTTCCGTGTCTCCAGTACGACAGATACACGGCTCTCGCTATCGGAGCTCCCAACAACAAGGACGGGGGGACGTTTATACGTCTTTTTACATTCAACATAAGGGCGGAGAAAGATAATAAGATGCGTGTACATGTCTTGTAATTTGACAATATAGTTGAAATTCTTTTTTCTCTTTTTTCCCCGTGTCTCCAGTATGACAGATACACGGCTCTCGCTATCGGAGCTCCCAACAACAAGGATTCAACAAAGGATTTTTTCCGTGCTTCCAGTGTGACAAATACATTTGTACACCGCTGTTGCTTCATTGATCCTTCCTTTCTTCCGTGTCTCCAGTATGACAGATACACGGCTCTCGCTATCGGAGCTCCCAACAATAAGGACACGGTGAAGGGCGTGTCGGGTCACGCTGTACTGGACGAACTCCGCTTCTGGGACAGGAAACTGTCGGGGAAGGAAATCTACCAGGTCATGATGCACGGTACGCGGTGGGGTTTGGTTTTGGTTTTCCTTTTAATGCCCACGACATGATAATGATCATTCTGGCATACTTATTTTCACCTGGGTGAAGTGAGGAAAGTCGTGCAAAGCTTTTCCAAGGGCACAAGATCAGTGACAAGGTAGGGTTCGAACCCGGGTCACTCCGTTTGGAGATAGGGACTCCGATGCAAACTTCTGAATTCTGGGATGGGGGGGGGGACTTTTATAAGCTAATCAAATGTATGGACAACAAATCTCAGACGTGCTTAAAAACCTTGCCCGGTCTTACACCATCGTTTATAACCAAATTTATTACACCCAGAACTTCGAATATATTGATCTATGTCTAAATGGGACTGGGTTAGCATCAGGCATGGTTCTGGATGTTTTCCCGTATCAAAGAACTAATCTCCAAGCAGATTCTCATGGTGGCTGCAATACAGTATCAACTTGTCAAGACAGTATTCAATTGGCCAGGAAGTATCTAATACGCCACCCAAATCGTAACAGACACCCAAATCGTTACAGCCGACCCCTTGCCCCACAGAATCTGCTTGGAGATTGCAAAGAACGTAGATTTGTCCGAGGCACAGTTCTGGATACGCGTGGACTATCCAGAACTGTGCCTGAGCAAGGCTATGTTAATATTTTACTCACGAATTCACTCTATACCTCTGATCCTGGTGTCTTATAAGCCAATATGGGTGACTTTGTCTCTAGACACATAGTAAACTTTCATTCATTCATTCATGTGTGCCAGTCAGTAGAACACAGTCATCCAAACGCCTTTCCTTTTCCTTCTTGTCAATCAGACCTGAGGATGTCAGGTGATCACTACCACCCTCCGCCGGGGTCAGAGGTCATGAAGGGCGAGTACAAGTGCAGCGGAGAGGAGCCGCTACTGGGCATGTGCGAACACGAGGAGGACTCCTCATTGGCTGACGAGCTGTGTGACGCAAGCAACCTGGCCTTCGTACGCTGTATTCGTAAGTTCAACTTTTTAAAATCTGTTGAACGACTAGTTCTATTCCTGACTGGAACCCAGGTTTGGGTTAGGATCAGGCACGGTTCTGGATAGTTTCAGTTTATTCAGTTTAATACGATACCCTTTAGCCCATTAGTGCTAATCTTCCAGGGCTCATTACCAGTCTTCGCGTATCCAAGAACGTAGATTTGCCCCAGGCATTGTTTTGGATACGCGTGGACTATCTAGAACCGTGCCTGACCATGGCCCTGTATAAAGCACGGTTTCTTAATGAATCAAAGTACGATTCTGGATACCGAATGGACCGTGCCTGAGCATGTTTCTTAATAAAGTACAGTTCTGGATAAAGCATATTTCTGGATAAAGCATGGTTCTGGATAAAGTGCTGTTCTGGATAAAGCACAGTTTCTGGATAAAGCACGGTTCTGGATAAAGCACGGTGCTGGATAAAGCACGGTTCTGGATAAAGCACGGTGCTGGATAAAGCACGGTGCTGGATAAAGCACGGTTCTGGATAAAGCACGGTGCTGGATAAAGCACGGTTCTAGATAAAGCACTTTTTCTGGATAAAGTACGGTTCTGTACACAACACCTCCCTCCTGCCCCGCAGCGTACGGCCGGTGGGACGGCTGGTCCACCTGGACGGACTGCGCGGACGGACAGACCCGCCGGACCCGGAAGTGCTCCACCCCCTCCCCGCACTATGAGGGCGACTGTAGGGACAGTCCCGGGAAGGGCCAGCAGAGCAGGGCCTGTCAACTCAGCCCTTGATGAGAAGCGGCTTCACGACTTCACATAGAAATGCAAAGCCACTTTCTGTTATCTTAGCTAGCTTTAAGTTGACTTTCTTTTTTATTATATATTATGATGATTTGCTGCCTGGATCATTATGTATTATTGCTATACTAGTACGTTATTTCTTTATCTTCGACAAGAAGGTTATGTTTTCAGTAGTGATTGTCCGTCTGTCTGTTTGGCTGTGAACAGCATTACTGAACAAGCTTAATATACATTGTCATGAAACTTGGTAGGTTAGTAGGTCTTGAAGAGACCTAGAAATGATTAGATTTTGGGCTACCTGGCGGCTTTGGTTGGTACTGCAGCAGAACATCCAGGGGGTACTGTAGGGACAGCAGAGTAAGGCCTGTCAACTCAGCCCTTGAGGGGAGGTCACAACTTTGTTTTTTTTATTAAAAAATTTGATGAACAAAACAAGATGACGACATGCTCGACCTCATGGTTTATGTACGTGTTGTCAACGAAACAACGAACATTACAAAAGCGTATCAAAACAAATACAGACATGCAAAGTATAAGGCTAACAAAGTAAAACAAGGTCCAACTCATACTAATGTTTGACACACCTTTTTAGAGGAGGGCTGATGATGATGATGACTGCACAACCTGAAAATGATAAATTTTGCGCGTCCTGGATGCGTATATTGTATGTGTACACTTTGGATGTAAAAACAAAAATCATGGTTTCTCTTTCACCTTAAAAGTTCAGTTGTGTCTCTTTCACTTTAAAAGTGCATCTGACGCAGTCTGGTTTAAACTGTCGTACAAATAACAGTTTAAACCTGCTTCAGAGAGAGTGTCTAATTTTTATACACCAATATATAGACATGAGGGTACTGCAACGTGCAATGATGACAAGACTGAGAAGATGGTACTGTAGCATTTATTACGTTACGTAATAACGATGCTTCACACAATGGCTTACATCAGAGCTGTGGTAGACTGTCACTCGATTCATTACTGCAGTTGATGAAGACAATAAAAATAACCAAGATATTGAACAGTAAGGTAACTGTACATCGTAACTAGTTATACTACTATCAGAAGCTTCTCTGTAGGATTTACACTGAGTTTCGGCAAGGGCTGGTTTTCGGTACAAACTACAAGTATTCTAATGAATGGTATTTTGCCATTACACAATGTACATCATATATATGTATGTATGTATGTATACCACTCAGCTCTAGTGTATATCTGTACATCTATACTTTACAACTATGCACAGTCACAGGACATTTGGCGTTGTCACGATTGTCAGAGGATTGCGGCGTTGCAAATTTCCGTCTCGCAAACGGTCGTCTCCTTTCAGAACGGTCGGCGTCGTCTTTCGATGCCATGTCCGAGCGTATCATAACTTTTTTTAGGTAAAAAAACGTATAAAACGCAACATTCGAATTGCAAATGTAAGGGAGAATCATGAAGAATAAAGGTATTAGTGGGAAAATCAAAAGCTCGGGCTCGAACCCGGATCAAAAAGCATAGCTATAAAACCCTGACCTATACCCTACGTATACCCTCTACGCCACGAAACATGACGGTGTGGATGGACCGTTCTGTCTGATACACTTATAGTTTGCCGTTCTGCGATATGGCATCGACCGTTTCAAATGGCATCGACTGTTTAAAATGGCATCGACCGTTTACGAGACTGATAACTGTGGCGGCGTTATTCGTCTCTATTTCAGACTGTAGAACCTTAAAGCCGCTACAATGTTTCACCACGTCTATATGTACATTTTTCTGTACAGCCTTTAACGCAAATACAACATATGGATTTCCAACTATGTCTTCAGAAATAGGAGCGACTACTGGCTACTAACATTTTGTTTACTATATGGCACGACAGGGTATACCGTGTAAGTGTGTGTCCCATAGTTCGTAGCCTCCACCAGGCCTTTCTACGGGAATACAGATCGTAGAATACGACAAAAAAGAGAGTAAAATTGGCCAAGGGAGTCCGGCCGCGGGGAGGTACTAGTAGCTTTGGCGAGTCAAACCTACAAGGCAGCCAAACTTCCCTGGCAAATATTCTCATATATATAGCCAGCGTAGTTAGTCTGGTAGAGACTACATAGTTGGTACTTGTGTATCTTGCAGACATTGAAGCACTCGTTGTCACAGCTGCACTTTTCTAGGAATTTCCGGCAAGTTTTACGACGTAGCATTTTCAGCGAGTTGCCAATGTGGGTTGCTATATGTCAGCGTGCGCTTTTTTGCTATTATTGACAAAGCCGTCAATAATAGCCATGGATATGACAATGTTGTGTAAATGCCTATGCGTTGCAAATAACGTTCTAGACTATAGTGTGCATGTTTCTAGTTCTAATCTCCATAATCACATAGTTAGATACAGGAAGCCCAAATGAAGCAAAACATTAGTGCGGCGGCACAAACCGTCCAGATAACATGTGTTGTTTCAAGTCATTACCAGTTGTAATTGTGTTTCTGGTCTAAACAACATACCCATCGTATCTGTGAATGAATGCTTTGGCTAACTTGCTCACACTGCAGCAAAGAGGTGCTTGAAGTGAGGTTCTTAACCGTCCCTATACAAATGATGCATCTCCCACGCAATACCTCCCATGTACATACGTGTCGTATTGATTGTGTCACATTTGATACTGCAACAAAAAGGTGCTAGAAGTGAGGTTCTTCACCGTATCCATACAAATGATGCGTCTCCCACGGATAACGCTATACCTCCCATATACATACCTGTCGTTCGCTCCTACAAAAATAGATTCCTAAATGTTTCATTTCAGCAATTTCCCACCGCTTATTGCCCGCCTCAGGCTGGGGAAGCAACAGCCTTACGTTAGTACAGAGATAAAGCTGCGTTTATTTCCCGAGGGACAGAAATTAAAGCGATAATACCATTACCTCGCTATAGCTGCTACTTAGATTGATTTGAGTTGCCTACAGGCAAGACTGCAGTGTCATTTTAAAATTATATTCGCGCGGGAAGAACTTAAAGCCTCGTAAGCTTGTAGCTAGCACGACTGTGGGAACCGTCAGCTTTACCGATATCCACTTTTCTACAGCGAGCCATCAATCAGTACCCACGCTCGGTAATAGATTTTCTGCTCGCCTCTTGTGAAAGCCAGAAGCGCTGCCAGCAATCTATATTTAAAACGTAGCGAGGATGAAACTACTGCCAAGTGTGAACCGGCCACAACCGGCCTTTGCAAAAAATAATCTACTGAGTAGCACATAAGGGTATCTGCCTAAGGGTGCATGGATATAATGAATGAATGAATGAATGAGACTTTATTTCCGTGTCGTGCGCTATCCCGCGCCCAGCCCGTGTGGGCTTATACGACACCGATTCAATAAATTATACATAAACAAAAGAGGATCAAAGGAACAGATAACAGAATCCAAACAAAATATGAACACAAATAAAGGTAGGCTATATACAATAATGGTGAACAAATAAGTGAACTCATAACAGATCGTAAATGCAAATAAACAAATCTGTACATAATGAACCAAGAGTAGATAGTAGATAGATGTAATTACGTAAAATACTGTAACAGCAACCTCCATTTCAGCACCTTAGCAAGAACCCATCATTGCAGCTACAAGTATTCACACGATTAGTTTAACCTTCTCCAAGTGGCTACCTTAGCATGCTAAATGTAAAAGTATCTCTAATCTTGAGTGAGACCCTATCAAACGAAATGAATGCATCGACTGATGATATTATGATGTAGCAAGATGTCGGTGGCTCTGTGTACGGAAGGACGATGTAACAAAACGGAGAGTAAGACCCAGCAGGGATACTTTAGTGCTTCATGGGCTGCATGCGCGTCACACACGCGTCACACGAGCGTCACACACGCGTCACACTAGCGTAGGCTTGATGGATCTGGGCCCTTTGTCCTACTGAAGATGTACCAAAACGGAGAGTAAGACCCAACAGGGATACTTTAGTGCTTCGTGAGCTGCATGCGCGTCACACACGCGTCACACACGCGTCACACGAGCGTAGGCTTGATGGATCTGGGCCCTTTGTCCTGCTGAAGATGTAACAAAACGAAGAGTAAGACCCATCAGGGATACTTTAGTGCTTCATGTGCTGCATGCGCGTCACACACACGTCACACGAGCGTCACGCACGCGTCACACTAGCGTAGGCTTGATGGATCTGGGCCCTTTGTCCTACTGAAGATAAGGAGAATACGAATACAAAACGGAGAGTAAGACTTATCAGGGATACTTTAGTGCTTCGTGAGCGTCAGACTAGGCGTAGGCTTGATAGATCTTGGCCCGTTGTCGTATGGGTGCCTGGCGGTGTGCGCATGCAGCGCGATATCGGCAGTTCTTAGATTTTCTCCTCCCTTCTTGTAGAAGCCAGAAGTGCTGCAAACGTACGGAACATATGGAAAATGTAAGGGTGTAAGATCCATCAGGGATACTTCAGTGCTTCACACTAGCGTAGGCTTGATGGATCTGGGCCCGTTGTCGTACTGCAGGACTGCGGGGCCGCAGGCGGACTGCAGCGCGATGTCGGTGCCCCTCAGGTCATCGTCGATCTGCTGCAGCGGGTGGCCCTTCCCCCGGGAGCTGCCGCAGCTGGACCGGCACTTGGCCCGGTTCCACAGGACCCCAACCCTCCTGCTCACAGCCTCGCAGATCGTCTGCGGTTTCTGCAAGGTAGGAAAGTATTAGAGATGCTTAAAACGGGTAAACATCAACATCAGCTCATAATTAAGCCGTCAAAAGACATGTGGAACTGAATAAAAAGATCTAGGAGGAAGAAATCGTTTTTTTTTGTTTTCCTATGTGCAGCCACCAGGCAAAAATTCAGGTCTGATTGGCCAGGAGAGTGAATCCACCATTAGGAAAATTTTACTGTTTTGAACCCGCGTTGAAATATAGCTAGTTCTAAACATAGGGTCGAATCGGCTGAGGAGATAAAGGTAGAGAAATCGGCTTAAAGACCTTTTGTGGTGCCCCAACGGTTAAACATTTAGACTAAGGGCTAGATGAGATAATCAGACTAAGTTAGGGAATAGATGAGATAGCTGGAGTAAGATATAGATGAGTTGAGAACCTTGGGATCTGATCTGCTGACGTCCCTGGCACAGGCCACCGAGAAGGGTGGAGAAAACCGACTTAAAGAACTTTTGCGGTGACCCAACGTCTAACTTTTTAGTGCAATGGATACGTGAGTTAATTAGACTAAGATACGGAAGTGCTGCCCACCTTAGGATCAGATCTGCTGACGTCCCTGGCGCAGGCCACCACCCACTCCACCAGAAGCGCTACGAACGCCACGCCCATCCCGCCATAGATCAACACGAACACGCCCAGCATCTGGTCCACTCCGATGATGGAGGAGTTGAAATCCTTGTCTTTGTCTTTCACGCACTCCGAGGTCTCGATCCTGGGCGTGTAGGGAAGAGACACGTTGGACAAAAGAGGAGGCTGGCATAGGGAAAAGTCTACAGTTTTTTCTACGGTGTAAGAAGGTTCTTTTATTGAACAACCAGTGGCATCTTACATCGGTGAAGGTTAGATATCCAGGTAATAATAAGATACGACAAACAATCAGTCACTCAAGCAACCGGATATGCTTTTGGAAACAGTCTGACGTCGGATATTACATCCGACATTTTATTGATCATCTTTCACCATCTTCAAGGCAACAATGGAAAACAGACATCGTTCTGGTTGTTAAATAAAGAACATTCTGTCATATATACAGTCTCTTATTCACGGGCTCTTTCTACGGTTTCTCAGTTACGGTGGCTTTGTACAATGCGTAAGGAATTTAAGTTTTACGGTGTTACGAAATCCGGATCCAGACTGAACTATAAGAGTTCACATCACTTAAATGACCATATAATGACAACATATACGTTAAGTGCACTGTTGCCATCATTTTAAAATGTTAGTATTTTAGTATTTTACTACAA